CTGGGATTGATTGAGGCTGGAGGTAGATCGTGGTATTTAGACTTTGTTGGGAGTGTTGTCTCTTTGTCAGTCATGGGAGAAATTAATAAACTTTAAAAATTTTCAAAAAAAGATCTTAGCTCTATAATGCAATGTCCCTCATATGATTCATTGGAATTAGGTCAGTGGTAAAATACCTTGGACATCCTGGGAACACTCTGCCACAATATCAATTCTTAGTGCCTCAAAGCAGCTTTTAGTAAGTTTGTTTTAGTTTTCAAAATGTGTGTGTGCACTGGTCAGAGTAAGAAACAGAAAAAGAGCAAGGGAGAGGGAGAAAGCACACACACACACCCCATGAGGCATAATCATGTTGAAGCCCCTTCTTCATTTCTCAGCATGTTTGGGATTTGAGACACAAATGCAGAGAGAGATGCCTGGCATGTTTCAGAAGCCCGGATCTGGGATTTGAACCTATGGTCGACAATATGGGATTCAGCTCCCTTAAACACCAGGCCACAGCCAACCCAAAGCAGCATTTTAAAGTCTGCAAATGACACCTTAAAAGAAAGTAATATTAAAAAGACTAATTTTCAGAAAAATCAAAGATTTAGACAAAACTCATGTGTTAATTTTTTTTATCTCATTAACTGCTGAAATTATTATTCAACAAAAATTATGACAACAAATATTTCTCCAACAGTCCCTTAGTTATCATTAAAGACCTCTAATGACAAGAAAGTCCCCCATCAAGGCATTTTATTCCATTGTTTTAATCTCTAAACTCATAAAGGTTTTACCCTTAAAGTTAGTCCAAATCTACTTTTTAGTTAGGTTGCTTTAGGAATCTGGGTAGATTCCAATGGGACCAGCAGATAGCATAATGGCTACATCACTGGACTCCCATGGAGTCGACCACGGTTCAAGTCCCGGACCTGGTGGCTTAAACTCACGCTGGGCGTGCATGCATGTATACTCAAGATCCCAAGATGAAAATGCAGAAGAAAGAATTGCACCCCCTGACGGGTGTTTTCTCACTTTCTGTCTTTCTAGAGAGCACACATGGCCTATAGAAAAAAGAAAAAAAAAGAAAAAAAAAACCTCTCCAAAAAAACCCAGAAAAGCAAATTAAAAAAAGTAATCTGGGGGGATTCCTTCCTCTACCTGCGTTGTCTATCAGAATGTTTAAGGCAACTTTATTCTCGTTTTTCTTATCACCTATAGATAGCACTGTGCCCTGCTTGTCTTCACAGTCCCTGGTATTCTGCAGTTGAACAAGCAATTATTGAGAGAGTTAATGAAAGACTGAGTGAATGAGCACTTCTCTTAGTTGTATCTTTGCAGCATGAGGAGGTGGCAAGTGGTGCTCTGGATTCACAGAGTTTTTCAGGACTGCCTCCTGCATCAAGTCTCCCTGAGGCTGCAAAGGCAGGAGGGAGCCCTCTGTACTAATCATAGTTTAGATGTACATCTCCTAGGAGATAGCCTGAGCTGCAAAAATCCACACTTGAGCTTTCACATTTTCCCTGAGACCTAAACATAAACAGTCAAAGAAGGCACAAGTATCTCCTTGCTTCCTGAATTTAACCAGGGTTTTGTTGCTGTTGTTGTTGAGAGATTTTTGCCATTGGGCGCATGTGGTCACCAGAGAGAGAGATGGAAAGTGAGAAATCACTCCCAGGGAGGATGAGACAAGACTATAGGATCAGACAAGATTTTTAATAAACTAAAGCTTTAGAGTTTAAAAAATAGGAAAAAGGGAAACCAGCAGTCAGCGTAATGGCTATGTTGCTGGACTCCCATGTAGTCGACTGCGGTTCACGTCCCGGACCCGGTAGCTTAAAACTCACGCCAGGCGTGTGTGCGTGCGTGCGTGCCCAAGATCCCAAGAGGAGAATGGAGGAGAAGGGATTGCAGCATGGCCATCCCCCCTGGGGGGGTGATTTCTCGCTTTCTGTCTCTCTGTCTCCCCTCTGTCTGTCTGGCGAACGCACGTGCCCTATAGCAAAAACCTCACTAAAAAAAAAAAAAAAAAATAGGAAAAAGGCAGAATTCAAGAATGCCTTCCCAATTAAATTAATTCAAATTATTTAAAACTTTGTGCATAAGATACACACATACACAAACATACATTTAGTTTAATCTTTATGGTTGAGAATACATATTATGCCTCCAGATTGAGAAAGGGAGACTGAATTCCAGCTCTTCTCCTTACTTGCTGTGAGATTTTGAACAAGTTTAAAAATGTCTATTTGCCTCAGTTTCTACCACTTACAAAATGCCACCACGACCACCACCACCCCCAACAAAAAATTGGGGAACTAGCCAGAGGTGGTTAAGGCGACTGGATCCCAAATAGCCAAATGTGCAAATCAAGTCTTGTACTCAGAGGCTTGAAAAACATACTGGCATCTGTGGGCATGCATGCCTAAAATCCCTAAAGAAAAATGAAGAAGGGACTGCAACATGATCACCTCTCCTGGAGAGTGATTTTGCTCTCTCTCTCTCCCTCTCTCTCTCTTTCTCTTTCTCTCTGTCTCCAGTGAGCACACATACTCTGCTGTAATTTTTTAAAAAATATTGGTACATTAATATCATTAAGCAAAACAGTTACTGTGTAGATTAATTAGACTAGTACCAGCTAAGGTTAAGTGTGTGTGTGTGTGTGTGTGTGTGTGTGTGTGTGTATAATTTGATATAGTTATTCATATTATGCTTTCTATTCATAGCAGCCATATTTTCATAGTCATGGCCTGACAAGTGCAAATGTGTGGAACCCGAAATCCTGCTCTGTAACCATTTTACTATGTTCCAACCTCATCATAAGAGGATGAGCTGGTTTAGAGGGAAGATTGCTGAGACGATTATTAAAAGACCTGAGTTTTTGTTCCAGCTGTGTCTTTTATTAGTTGGCTACCCTATGTCAACCTCCTTAACCTGTCTATGCCTCAGTGTCCTCTTCTAATCCTATTGACCCAACAGAGGTGTCACAAGGCAACACCTTCTGGCAAGACCCAATACGGATATAATAGTCCTAGTTATAACCATATAAAGGGCCACTGAAAACGAAGAGGTCTAAGAACCCAAAATGTTTCTCTTTTCTGTTGTAGGCTCCTCAAGGTCGGTTGGGCTTAGAACGACCATCTGTCATCCTGGTCTCTGTCTCTCTCATTTCCAATCCATGTTGCTCTCAGAGCTAACCAGACCTGTCAGTACATGCACCATTGCTGGTATTATTGTACTTCAGGCCAATTCAGTGCCCCAGTGTTGATGCAGCCTTTAGATCCACATATCGTTCTTTACATCTGATGACGTAAGTAGTTGGAAAACAAGATTTAGCAAAGAAAAATGAACCTAAGAAAAGTATGGGAAGAGAAATATCAAGAGTTTTCTCACAAGGAACCAAAGAGGGAATCATGATGCTTTCTTCTTGCAGTCTTCTGCCACAGTCTAACCTGACAAAGCTGCATAGACTGAGCAGAAACAATGAAAAGCTCAGACTCCTCTCATGATACTAGTAATCACAGGAGCAGGAAAAGCATGCCCTTGATCATAGGAGAGATTTCTTTGAGATCATACTACATGGAAGTCTACATCTTTGGCCTTCTTGCCTATTTTAATAATTGTTACATTCTGTGGTATTTCTATTTAATAATGTATTTGGTCATAAGTATATCAAAAGTTCTCATCTTTGCAAGGTAGAATTAAGTAGTATGGGAAGAAAATCTAGACTTCTTCTAACAACTACCATAAACTGGCATGCTTCAGTATCTCTTATCTGAAGAAAGTTTCAGCTCCTTTATCACTCTACTTTTCTCATATTCTATTTTGTCTTCGTTTTTTCAAGAATCTCAGTTCTCACCTATTCTTTAAATTACTAGGGGACATGGGCCAGCCTATGGCATGATGATTAAAGTGGCTAGATCCCACATGGAAAATTGTATTTTTTGAGTCCCAGATCTGATGGCTTGAGAAACATGCTGGGTGCATGTGTATATATGTCTAAAATCCTGGAGGGAAGAAGGAGGAGAGAAAGAATTATGATATAACCATGCTCCATGGAGAGGGTTTTCTCATCTCTCTCTCTCTCTTGCTCTCTACCTATCTCTATTTAGTGAGTGCACGTGACCTCTGGCAAATCAAAAAAATAAATAAATACTAATGGGCAATTTAGACACTAGTGCCTAAGTTCTACTAGATACTCTGCAAATTGATAAATGTTATCTTCTTCAGGTACACTAGATTGAGTAAATCACTAGTTTAGAAGCTTAAATAGTACTATAGCCTTGAAAAAATAATTTAGTCCATTTATTTAGTGTTAGGTAAAAAAGCTTATCCTATAAGTATTTGTGAATTTTATATCAAATTGAAATAGTTATTAAAAAGAAGGTCATAAAAATGTTGGTGTATAAAACAATAGTATTACAGTTTTTTGTCAAATAAAATGCCCCAAATCTTCTTGTTTCAGAACAGCAAATGCCATAATTTGTCATTACAGAAAAGAAATTTAAGTCTCAAAAAAATGGGATTCTCAGAAGCAAGTCCCTATTCCACAAGGTTATAACTCACATATCTAATTCTCTCTAAGACCTGGACAATGAACTTGTATTAATACTGCCTGCATTTTTGCTAGTTATTTTAACAGCCCTCAATAAAGAGGACTGCAGCAAAGATGACAGAAATATGTGGCAAGTGTCCTTCTGAAATTCAGATATGCTTATGATCTTCTCCTTTACAGTTAATGGATTCTAGCACAGAATAAATAATAAAGAATTACTGCTACAGTTGAGGCAAATTAAAGTCAATGCATTTGAGACCTCAGCAGTGAATTGACACTGGCCCTGAATACCAATTGCAATGCATAAAGGTAAAGTCTCATAAACGGTCTGGCTGGAAGTCTGGAAGTAAGATGCCCAGATGGGACCAACATGAGATTGGCATTATGCAGAGTTCTGGAGGGCATCCACTGTCCCTCCAGCCCAGTTTTACTCTCCCCTGAGCTTCATACCATGAACACTCACCATTTTTGCAGAGCAGGACAGCCAGGAAGTCCTGAGAAGAAGAATTGATAAAGAGCAAAAGGCTAGGTGCCTGGGCTGTCACAAAGCTAAATGCAATGTTCTCCCTGGATGGAGATGAATCTGTGTAAATAGCTGAGGATGAGAGGTTTACATTCTTGGTCACAGGGTAGGGTTCTTGAAACATGTAAGTAACCGATGTGCCAGCTTCAAAAACAGCAGAAACCTCTGCAAGATATAAAAGGAGAAAGCACACATTGAAACATTTTCTCAACTACTAAGGATAACCATCACTTCTTGAGTATTGTTTTCTATGCACCAGACATAGGGATTGGATTTTGTATGAATCATGTAATGTGCTCCTCACAATCATTTGAAATGATAGAAGTCACTATTGTTACAAATAAGCTACTTGAGACTCACAAAGGTTAAACTTCTTGAATAAGTTTGCATGGCCAGATGATGATTTGTCTCCAAATTTTAGATCCAGTTCAAAATATATTTGGAAATGACTACCGTGTGCCATTTCTTGAGAAGTAAAGATAAAATACTTTTGCCTTCAGCATAATGCATAGAGAAATTGGCCAGCACCATCTTACCTTTAGAATTGAGATACTAAGAGTTCCATGTAGTGTTCTTCAGGTGTTTCCAGAGAACTGTAAATGGGCTCTAAATTGCCAAGAGTAGAACATTGCATGTATGAATGAGAAAGCAATAATTTTCTGTTTCTGGATAAAATTTGAGGACCAATGAAATAGTAAAGAAAGAATTTATAGAACAGTAAAAGAGGTATAAATATCCAACTCCTAGACTCAGTTGCTTAAATGTCCAGGCATTGGTTTTCAGTTCCAAACCACAGTGAAGACGTGGCCATATAGTCCTTCTTATGGGAAACAGTTTCTACAGTGAAAAACATTGCATCAAGAACTGCCCCCACTATAGAGTTTCATCCACAAACTAATGAAATTCAATTAGTAGGAACCTGCAAATCACCCAGTTCCCTTGATAGAATGTTTTCACTCCAACTGTTACCATTTTGGGTTAGTGGAACTAGCACAGCATGAATCAGTACTAGATCACAAATGTCAGCTTCATGCTGACTGTTTGGTCCCAGGGAAGTTGGTGAATCCTATGTAGACTGTTTTCTAATCTGGTAAATGGGAATCACAACACCTAATCTTATCAGTCTTCCTGTGTAGATAAATTAGATGATGTGTTTAAAGCACTTCAAACAGTTGCCTAGCACAGTTTGAACTCATGGACTCCTCATGTTAGAAGATAATTTAACATGAACCAGTCTCAACAGTTATCACACACATCTGTTAATTGCCTACACAGTCATTCAAATGCTGAGATACTGTCCTTGGATCAAGGCTACTTTTGAGTTCACTTTAAATTTTATCTCTACATAATATTAGAGTGTGAAATAAAGATTTACGGACCACCATATCTTGGATTTAGCCACAATCCTCTTCTATAAAACTCACAGTAAATATGAATCCATACTAATATGTTCTCTTTGTCCTGAATGACTTGTGAAATGTTTCTAATTCCTCATGAAATTTTCTGATTGAGTTGGTGACACCTAGAACATAATCAAATCCAGCATTTGCTTCCTAATTCTATTGCACATTTGTTCCACTTTCTGAAAATTCTGTAACATTCTGTATGAGTGCCAAAAAATTAAAGTAGCATATTTATGCATATCATCTAGCAGATAGGGAATACTAGTTCATTTTTACTAAAGGTTCAGAGGAAGATTTTTTCATTAATGATGCAGGTTACAACATTGGTACTCCTGATTATGAAAATATGCAGCAGACACTTGTGACAGTGAGGATTTTGGTTAATCATCAGCTTGATTTAAGCATTTTCCTTGAGTGAATTTCCTTAGGGACTTGTGGGTCACATTTTGAACTACCATCTTCTAGTGAAGAGAATAAAGGACTTTTATTTGATTTTGTGTGTAGCATAGTTCTAATTAAGAGTATTATTTTATAGATAATATATTATATATGGACATATGTATTAATTTTTATACTTAAGACAGAAATTTAAAATAAAAAGCATTTTGTAATTAGAAATGCACATCCCAATTTCTGTTGTTGCTCTTCCCCCAGTGCCAGTTCTAATTATTTTTAAGGTTGAAATGCAATCTATTTCAGCAAAAAGCTAATTTCAGCAGTATGCCTTGATTCCTGGGTGGTTTTTTTGTTTGTTTGTTTATTTGTATTGTTTTGTTTTAGTTTTTTTTTAAAATCTGAGTTTAAACTTTCTGATCAAGTAGAGTAAGTTGTCTGAACATCCAAAACCCCTGGGTGAAATGGATGTAAATATTTTGCTAGGAAGTGATTATTGATCACTATGCTGCTATTCCAGGGCCACAATGCCCATATTAACAACAGACTTTGAGCACCCTCTTGGAGAAAGGAATTGTGTTTACTAGATGCTGAAATCATAGGATCCACATTTGCAAACACAAACACCAATGGAAGTTAGCCTTGTGTTTGACATGTGAGTGAGAGAGACCATGATCTCCAAAGCTAGATGTTTCTGAGGACCAGAGCAGCCTGAAAAGATCTGAATAAGAAGCTCAACATTAACTGAGCCTGGAAGTGTGGAAACTACAGGAAGGAACTTGGAAACAGGATGGCACAGGAGATGTATAGTCCCTGAGCCATGTTGAGTCTGACTACACGAGCTAGAACCTTGCTCTGCCCATCTCTAGTCATTATAGGATCCCAATCAACCTCAGTTTACTGTGGCATAAATGAAGATAAATGCAAGCTTGGGATGAGTGAAAAGATAGTATGCAAAAGCACAAAACATAGTCAGAACTCAATATTAAGAATAGCTGACCTTAAAAATAGCAATAGAATTCGATTTAGAATGAGAAAGCCCCAGGTAATGAATAATCTAAGTTACCTAGAAATTGTCCAGCTGCTGAGAAAAAAATCAAACAAACTAAAAATAACTGAAACACTCGGAAATTTAAATACTGAGTAGATGTTTAATACTATTAAAATATATTATGACAGGGACAGTAGGTGGCATCGTGGTTAAGACACTGGACTCTTATATGGCTGACTGTGGTTTGAGTCCTAAACCTGGTGAAGAACAGGAGGAGAATATATAGATAAAGTAAAAACAATCATGATTTTATAATTGTTGAAACTAGATAATGGGCATAAGGGGGGTCTTAAATTATTTTCTCAACTACATCATTTGTTTCCATTTTTCTGTAATGAAAGGATTAAAAAATATATAAATTTATAGGAATATAAATATTAACACATTTTGAACAAGTTTTTGGTAGTATATAAAATGTACCTAGCTGTACATACTTCTTTTTTTCCACTGAAATTCAATTTCTAAGAAAATAAACAATATATACATTTATCATGGGATTATTTAATTAAACCTGTGATGATCTCAGGTTACTAAACAATAAGAGCAAGCATTTGGTGACACTTCATATGCCAGGAGTTATCCTAAGAGTTATGTAGAGGACTTGTCAAATATTAAACATGACCTCTTATGAAAGATTCATGCATTTTCCACATTTTATAAATGAGGGAACCAAGGAACCTTGAGGTTGAGTTACGTGACCAGTGTCACACACTACAGATCGCAGATGAGCCAGAATCTGAATGAAGCAGGTCTGCTGCCAGAACTCCACTGTGACTTTGTGATCTACAATGCTCTGGTGATAGAATAGATTAAACAACTGCAGGCAATTGGACTGGATGGAACATATTGTCCTCGTTAAAAGTGATGATTATAAATATTTGTGAATAATATAAGAATACTTAGGGAATAAAGAAAATTGAAGATATATCATGGGCAGAATCATCTCAGCTATACTAAATGTAGACAAAAGAAATAGAAGGATAGCAAGTTGAGGATATCAAATTTTCTTTTTAATGATTATCTCTGAGTGACTAGATTTGGCTGATTTTTTTCAAATTTCCAAAAGTATTTCTAAATAGCTTTTCAAATACATATTTAATACTTTATTTATAAAAGTGTTCTAATGGTAATGCTATTACAGTCATACCCAGATTTTTTATATAATAACGTGAGAGTGAAAAAAGGGGGTGGGTCTAAGGCAAGGATGCATCAAAAAAAAAAGTGTTGAGAAAAGTGGATAATCACATGCTAAATAAATAAGTAAATAAATAAGGTTGGACTCCATACTTCACAATAGTACAGAAATCAACTGAAAATGGATCAAGGATATTACAGTTAAAAATAAAAAACTCTGAGAAGAACCCAAATTTTTGTGTGCTTAGATTATTCAGTAGTGCCTTTTAAAATGACATTAAAATCATAAGCAACAAAAGAAAAACATAGTTAAATTGGGCTTCATAAAACTTAAACTCTTTCGAGCTTCCAAAGATGCTATGAAGAAAGTGGAGGAAAAAAAAAAACAATAGGAGAATATGTTTTTAAATTTTATACATAATAAAGCAACTATATATAGAATATATGACAAATTCTTACAACTAAACAATCAAAAGAAAAATATTAAAGAATTGAAAAATATTTAAACAGCCATTTCTCAAAAAAGATATATGAATGCAGAATAAGCATTTTAAAAGACACTGAACATCATTAGTCACTAGGGAGTTACAAGTCAAAACCACACTGTAATGCTTGTTCACACCCTGTAGGATGTCTATTATCAAAAAGTCAGATAATAACAAGTACTGGCAAGAATGTAGAGAAATCGGAAGCTTCATACTGCTGATGGAATATCAAATCATACAGCCACTTTGAAAAACTTCTTGGCAGCTGCTCAAAGTTGTACATATAATCACCATATGACCTAGCAATCTAACTTTTAGATATAAAGCCTTGAGAATAGACAACACATGTGTATAAAAATGTTTAATAAAATCTCAATATTATTTTTAATAGCCAAAGAATTGGAACCACCTCCATGTCCACCAGCTGATGAATGGCTAAACAAAATCCAGTGCATCCACACAATAGAAAAAACTTTGGCAATAAGAAGAAATAAAGTACTAGAAAATGCTATAGCATGAATGACCCTGACAACACTAAGCTAAGTGAAAGAAATCAGACACAAAAAGTCTACAGATGTTATGATTGCACTTATATGAAGGGTTCAGAAAAGGTAAATCCAGAGAAACAGAAAGTCTACTAGTGGTTTCCAGACCTTAGAAGTGAATGGCTGCTGAAGGGCATGGACTTTCTTTGGCAGA